TATATATATATATATATATATATATATGTATGTATGTATACACACGTATATACACATATATGCGTATGTGTATGACTTTAGTCACGTGTTGTTTTTCCACTTCTCTCTCTCACTATTTTTTGAGTTTGATTTTCATGCGTTATTTCTGACATTTCTCATATGTGTATTATATGGTTTATAAGACGTATATACTATCTGTCATTGCGGTGACAGGTTGTGTTCACTGACAACACGTTAAATAAAAATAACAATAGCGTGCGCGTAGCGCACGCCTGTGTTGTGCTAGTGTCATAAAATGCAAAATGGTCATGCATGAGAAGTCTTAAAACTTTCGGTTAACACAGAAGTTAATCTACATAATTTTAAACATATCTATACGTAAAATGTTATGTACTTACTTGAAGAACAACCAATATTTCAGGCAAAGTCTTTTTATTAGGATCTACAGGTCCCAATAGACAAAACAAATGATGCGCGGGTGCATCAGACATCATTTGCAAATCGTTGGGAGTATTCTACAAAATATAAAATATTGGATCGAATTAAAGTATTATTTTATTAAAACATACATATGTATACATATATATATATATATGTATATAATATTTACTTTGTAATGCGATGCAACATACAGCGATACCAGTCTCTGTAAGAACATCTCGGAAGCCTTGTGATAAGAGAACAATGTATCTCTGAGAATTAATTATTATTTATTATTATATATTTCTCACACAAAACTTTTTAAACATTTGCGCGAGATGCATTTTGTAATAATCATTTAAAAATACCTGTTTATGTAATATAATTGGCAAGTATCAGGAGGAGGACATCCAGAAAGAGACATTTGGACTGTAACGTTTAGACAAAGTAAATCGCACAGCCATTGTTCTACAGAATCACCAGGCTTGTAACGTATCGATTCATCGAGAGTCAGTTCGTACAATTGTCTGCCGATAAGAGTTTTTTCGGTTTTTCGTTCTTTCTCGTTTTTTTCACTGTTACTATTTGACCCAGCGGTTTGTGCTCGCAGTTGCTGCAGTAACTTAAGCGACAATGATCGACCTGTACCTTCGTATCTATAAATATATATTAACAAGTAGTAATTAATATATTACCACTTTAGAATACTTTAAAAACCAAACGTCTTACCCGTTTATGGTTGACGCAAGAAATATCAGATAAGGTCCAAGCATTGCTTTAACATAAGGTAAAGGAATTGCCGCTGCCTCATCAATCACAAGCAGCTCTGCTTGATTTAGTTTATGAGTGTCTGTAGGATGTATGTACTACGCAAGGGAAAAAATTATATATTAACAATATGTATTTATATATATTAGCAATTCTAGAACCAAAAATGTAATTAAGACACATACTTGAATCGTTTGACGATGATCTCGAAACACATTTACACGTACAGTAGCTTTATTGAATTCTGGATTTGTAGATTGCACCAAACCATAATCGAGATGTTCCTGATATCCTAGCGCGTCAAATCCTACCAGATAATACAAATGCAATACAAATTATTTGTTTTATTCACGAATCTCAAAAATGATGCATTTTATATTTAAGATGTAATTAATCAATTGTTTATTAGTTTTATTACCTTTGAAGACAAATTCAAATAGAGTGTTTAAGTTTTCCGGGCTAGGACTTGAGATGTATATGTTAGAATATCCAAAAGAAACAGCTCCAGCAATGGCAAGTCCTAATGCTGCAGATTTTCCACGTCCTCTGGCAGCAGTAAGCGATACAGTAGATCTCAAAGTTTTCTCAGAGATACACTCGATAAATTTAAGAACTGCTTTTGCCTGACAATATATTTAAATTATAAGTTTTAAATAAACAATTTTTTGATTAATTGGTTTGGTTCGTATTGATTTATTTTTGATAAATTACCTGATCAATGGTTTTGCAACAATTAATTAATGCAGATACAGGTTTAGTATCTTGCATGCTTTCCTTTAAACTATCTAAATCGGACTGTTCCTCCGCAACAGTTGATTTATGTACAGGTTCTATTGTTAAATTATGAGAGGATAAAGGCAACACATTCAGCTGATCATCAACAACCAAACATCGAGTACATGAGGCCAAAGACAATAAAAACCTTTCATTAAATCGACACACTATGTCCTGAATAAGCAAAACAAATATTAGAATACTGTAGAGCATCATAAAATTTTTTTAGAAAGCAGATGCATTCATACTTTATGAGCTTCCGTACGAAACCTCTGATGAACGTCCATATTTATTGTAAATAATTGCTTCAAAGAGTTAATAGATTGCAATAAAAATACAATAAGGCCACCACCTTCTACTGTTTCAACAGTACGTGCCAGTAAATTTGGTGTAATTGCCTCAAAATCCTAAAAAAAATTATAAAATGTAACATTAGAATAACTTAAATGCAACATTAGAATAAAGTGTCAATAAAATGAAGAGAGTGAAGTGTACTTATGCACATACTTGTAATATACACATGCCATATGTGTTACCCAATATTTTATGTGTTTCGTTATAATAACAATACCGGATATTGGTAGAAACAACAAACAATTCGAATGGATCATCCTCCTTAACATCTAATTTACCAGATTTGACTTTCTTCTGTAAGGATTTCATTCGTTTCTTCCTGTGGCTGCTGAATCCTAAATCCTTTTTGTAACACCACAGAACAGAAGGTCTAGCTTTTACAACAGTCTTCGACAACATATGATGTAACAACACTACCTAAAACATTATTTTTTTATAGCTAAAATGTAATATATAAACGATGAAGTAAAATGATGAAGAAATAAAGAAATCAGATATTTACTTGATCTCTCGCTTTTTCGCCGACAATAACGAACATTGTCCTGTGTCCCATAGTAACACCATTTTCTATCAAAACTCGTATGCGGTTGTCGATTTTCTTTCGAACCATTTTAACAAAAATTAAATCTCTCTTTTTAACCCTTGATTTAATCTAAAAATTTATATATTTTGTTCGTTGTTTGTGGTTTGCAGATTTGCATGTGCCATGTGCTCAGAGATGCCAGTTCGTGGACTTAGTAAGCATTCAGCATCAAGTGGAGGGGATACGCACACAGGCGACAACCGTGTCCGTGTGCGCTCGGCGCTTCGGCCAATGGTTGGCCAACCACACGGACACGGCTGTCGCCTGTGTGCGT